CCACATCAACATGTGTCCCCTCTTCTTCATGTCTCTTCTTCATCAACATGTGTCCCCTCTGTGGAAAGAGACTCTGAAAGTTTCAGGAACAAAGATTCTCTCTCTTTTTGTCCTGATCCATTTCTATAAAAACCTGTCTGAAAATGAGCTGATCAGATTTTGGCCACTTTGTGATGTCATAACGATGTTTTGGCTTGTGTAACCATTAGCCAATCACCAACCAAGGTAACCCCCCCCCCCCCCACCTTATCACCTGAATCTCCTCCTAGAGCACCATTGAGTTCTTTTTAACCAAATATCTCTCAGAGGGGCGTGGGGAGGGGCTCCTTATTTTCATCTAAAGTAACAGACAGAGAATCAGCACTTTTGAAACAGGGCTGAAACAGAGGGGATTATGGGTAATGCTGCAATGATCTGTTTGGTGTTTCAGCCAATCAGAGACAAGTTCTGGATATATCTGAGACCTGTGATATATTGATGAGAAACAGTATAATAGCGGACCTTTAAGAGGTAACGGGGTGTTGTTGCAGTTATTAGACTTCACCTCAGCAGAAACAGAGACTGCAGTGTTTCAGCCGCCTGTCATCCACAACACAAACACTGATTATACAAACTGCCTCTTCCTTTCACTGTCAAACTCCCATGACTTGACAAAAAAAAATATTCTACGTCTGATGGATTAGTTTATCTACAAACATCACCACATGCGTCTTCCTAACATATAAGACACAATAGAAAACAAGAAGATGGATGATACAATCAAATCGTGACATCTTATAATCTAAAACCTCATCAACAGCTTGTCACACACACACACACACACACACACACACACACACACACACACACACACACACACACACACACACACACACACACACACACACACACACACACACACACACACACACACACACACACACACACACACACACACACACACACACACACACACACACACACACACACACACACACACACACACACACACACACACACACACACACACACACACACACACTTCCTCTCTTATTCCCTGCAGCAAATGTAGTCTTGATTTTTCTCCATCTTTCATTAATTAGTCCCTTCTTGGAGTAATGATCGCTGCCTTTCCCAACATCTCAGATCCAATAAAGGTACATTCCTTCTCCACATTTACCATTATATTGAACGTATTTAGTCATTTGCAGACAATCTACTTCATGTCTGCCTCCTCTCTGACATCCGCTCTGAGCAACACACTGAATAAGAAGCTCTGAATTACAGTCTAACCATGTCTCATTGCACTGGTAAAAGTAAAGAGCACTGTCTTTGCACATTGCTCATTTGGTTTAATGTACAGGATAACTCAAAGGTTTTATTGTCATATGCACGGCTTGGCTTCAGTGTCGTTTTGGCAATGGAAATCTGAAGTCCTAGGCTCCACATACAAAGCAACACACATATATATATTTAAAGACTACCAACAATAGAAATAGAGCAACAGGAAACAAACATTATGCATACTGTACAACAAGGCAAGGTTAGTGGAATATAAATACAGTTTCCTTAAGAAAAGTAAAACATGTGTCTGCCCTCTTCCTTGTCTTAAAGGCAAAAACAAGTTTGCCACAAAAACTGTTAATTTGTTATCAAAAATACTGTTTTTTTTTAAAGCAAAACTGCAGACTTAAATGTTTCAAGTCACATACAATCTTCTCAAGACTCTGCACACTGTTCACACACACACACACACACACACACACACACACACACACACACACACACACACACACACATACTCACCCTGTTGGCGACAGAAGCCATGATAGCTCAATGCACCTGTTGGAAAAGATAAATCACGCTCTGTTTCTTACCTAAAAAGAGAGAACTCCTTTCCATGTCGGTCACCTTTCCACAGAAGAAGGAAATGTGTCAGCAGATAGAAAAACAACGTCTCCGGCGTTACATCCCCCTGCAAGTGCCGAAAGAAAAGGAGGGGAGGGGGAGAAAGAGAGGTTATTATCCAGAGGGGAGTCAGGGGAATTGGAGCAGTTGCCAGTTACAACATCTCTAATTGAAAAGACTCCAGAAAACACAATTGAACCCTCTTTTGTATGCCTTTTTTGAAATGTTAATTAAATGCAATGTGTGTAGCTCCACGTGAGTTCTACAGGTAACCTACTTGTTGCTTTCTGCACATCAACAATCCTACATAACCCGGAAACCTACATATGAAGACAGACTGCATATCAGTTTTATACATTTATGACTCATCTGTGTAACAGTGAGCACACATCCTGAATCTCTGAAATATTTCTCCCGTTTTTCTTTTTACTATGTGCAGTCCATTTGTTGCCATAGGGACTGGTAATAAAAATCAGTCACATGAACAAATTGAAGCAATACTCTTGTGATGAAAAATGAACTGGAGTCGGGGTTAGTGGGCTGTGGTAATTCATTTTTGAATGACTGGAGCGTGCCGTGCAAGGTAATGGGGGAAACAATGCAGTTTGGATGCGAGTGTGTGGGTGTGATACACACAGAGGCCGCTAGGGGGCAGTACATGCATAGAAAACGTATTGATAGAGACGTAGTTTTTCGTACTTTATTGAACAACTGTTCCAATACTGAATCAGAAAAAATACACAAAAACAGTTTTTATTACAATAATTCAAAACTGAGGTCATTATGAACAGAAAATACAGAAGAAAAAAAAAGTGGTCCCTCAAGGAATTAAGGTGTTTTTGGTCAAATTGTTACTTTTGCACAATTTAATTATTTGTTTGTATAATTTAATGTAATTAAAACAAATACTGAGTGGGGAAATGTTGAGTATTGGTAGAGAAAATAATCCGTACTCTGTCTGAAATCGATACAGACTGCATTTAGTTACAGGCAAGGACTCTATAGTCTATTTTATCGGTTGGATCTTTAAGAAAAAACTAAATTATTTGCAAAAATATTCTACTTCTACTAAAATTCAAGGCCCTTTAAACTTGCAAAAACATGTAGTACAATCAAAATTGCTTTTATGTAATGCATTTGTTTTTATTGTATTAGTATTTATATTAATTTATGATACAAATAGTATTTTATTCATAACAGTAGTTACTAATAACTTTGCAGATTCGGATTATTAATAAGAAATAAACAAAAAAATCACTTGACAAATCTTAACATGTGGTGTTATTATATATTAAAGTGCCTGGTAGAATATTGAAAGAACATTTTGCTCCACCTTTAAAAGCGGCCACATTAAATGTAAGTAATATAATGCATCATTATTTATTATCCAGTCAAATTATATGTCTTATTCTGAAATTGGCCTATCTGCATAATCCATGTTATCAATGCAATTTATGTATTGTACTTACAGTTTTTGAATATGGAGTTTTTATGTGAAAATCTATATTTTTTACAGTATGGTATACTGTAGGCTGCTTTTACTTAGTTTAAAAATTATTAATTGTTCTCCAACTACTGTGTATTTGACCTTTTTTTTTAAATAAATAAAACCTTTTATAAATTAGGCATTAGTTTAGGGGGTATTATCATCCTGTATTTATTTATGGTGATTTGTGTGAGTGTGAGTCAGTGAGTGTGAGTGTGAGTGTGAGTGTGAGTGTGAGAGTGTGTGTGTGTGTGTGTGTGTGTGTGTGTGTGTGTGTGTGTGTGTGTGTGTGTGTGTGTGTCTGACAAGCTATGGGCTTTTCTCATTTCACTCATTTCCCCTCCTCGACTCCTCGGTCCTCCGGTAGTGTGTGTGTGTGTGTGTGTGTGTGTGTGTGTGTGTGTGTGTGTGTGTGTGTGTGTGTGTGTGTGTGTGTGTGTGTGTGTGTGTGTGTGTTGTGTGTGTGTGTGTGTGTGTGTGTGTGTGTGTGTGTGTAGGTGCGTGTTGTACAGTGTGTATGTGTGTGTTGTACAGTGTGTAGGTGTGTGTTGTACAGTGTGTAGGTGCGTGTTGTACAGTGTGTAGGTTTGTGTTGTACAGTGTGTAGGTGTGTGTGTTGTACAGTGTGTAGGTGCGTGTTGTACAGTGTGTAGGTGTGTGTTGTACAGTGCGTAGGTGTGTGTTGTACAGTGCGTAGTGGTACAGTGTGTGTGTGTTGTACAGTGTGTATGTGTTGTACAGTGTGTAGGTGCGTGTTGTACAGTGTGTAGGTGTGTGTTGTACAGTGCGTAGGTGTGTGTTGTACAGTGCGTAGTGGTACAGTGTGTGTGTGTTGTACAGTGTGTATGTGTTGTACAGTGTGTAGGTGCGTGTTGTACAGTGTGTAGGTGTGTGTTGTACAGTGTGTAGGTGTGTGTTGTACAGTGTGTAGGTGTGTGTGGTACAGTGTGTAGGTGTGTGTTGTACAGTGTGTAGGTGTGTGTGGTACAGTGTGTAGGTGTGTGTTGTACAGTGTGTAGATGCGGCGGACAGACGGGTCTCAGTTGGTTTGGTGTCCTATGGTTACTTATAATATTGTAAATAAAACTTCTGGTCCGTAATTTCAATTTCCCATTTAAGCAACCAGAGAGGGGGGGGGGGATATATCCAGTCTCTGATTGTGTTACGTTATTATGAGAGTGCTCTCATACATGTTTGATTCTGAAATTGTATATATTTATATAAATATATGTGTGTGTATTATGTCCGCATCTGTAGCCTGTTATTGTCTCATATACCGCACTGTGAATTAATTATAAGTCGTCATGAACACAACACATCTGTCCATCAGACAGAGGGCTGCTGTGCCTCCGGTCATCATTAATGGACGTCTCTTTAAAATGACCGCTCAGAGGAGAGGATTTCTAATTTCTCTAACCGCCTGCTGCTTCCCCTCCTCTCTCCTCGGTTCCCTTCCTCGACTCCTCCGTTCGCATCTCCTGTGGGCGGGACTAAGACACGAGGATAGGAGTCGAGGAGGAGAATTAGAGAAATGAGAAAGGGCCAGTGTGTGTATTTTACGGGGTGGGGCTTTCTGAGCGTTGACGACGTGGTCAAACTCTCGCGATATTTCGGCCTCGGTTACCGACCCGTCTTGGATACCCAGCAGTTTCTCTGAGAAACATCAACACAGTAACCCGGGAAAGAGACCTCAGAGGCGGGGAGCGGTGTTTCTCTTTAGGGACCTCACAGCGGATCTGGATACTTTGTTACACAGACACACACCGACACGACAACAATGGATGAATGTCGTTAGAAAAAGTTGCTATCTTAGTTAGCTAAGATTGGTTTGCTAACGTTAGCCGGCTAATGCTAACGTTAGCAAACAGCTGAAACTGAAGAAGAAGTCTGAAGAAGTTTGGATTTTATGATCATTTTATAATCATGAGGACGGCAACATGAATCTGGACATCTAGATACATCGCTTCCTTTCATTACAGGTATGTGTTTTGCCTCTTTTAACAAGAAAACAGCCAAGTTAATTCATGACTTTCCTGTCGGCTAACGTCAACTGTCCGGAGTTAGCGGCTCCGACTAATCCCTGGAGCGAGACGTTGTTAAATAAGTCATCCTGAAGTCAGAGGCAGGAATGTGTTGCAGACATCATGGTTTTAGGCAAAATTAGGAACTTAAAAACGACCATTGGTAAATCGAGGATGTTTTTAGTATGTATTAGATGTTTAGAAAACAATAACTTACTGTCTGTTTGTTAGTTAGCAGCTAAAAGTAGATTAATCATGTTTATGTTTGTGTGTATGGGGCGACTAATTCCTGGACAGGGAGTAATAGTCTTAGCCTTGACACAGTTAATTTCTCCAGCTTTACTTCGAAAGTTAAAATGCCATTAGTTGTCGTTTCATCTAGTACTGTTATATTGTATTATTCATCAATACAGCACTTTTGGAAGAAGTACTAAGATCCTTTACTCCAGTAAAAGTAAAAATACTATGGTCTTAAAATACTCCATTGCAAGTAAAAGTCCTGAATGCAAAAATGTTACTCAAGTAAAAGTACATAAGCATTAGTATTAAATTGTACTAAAAGTAATTATACAGACACAATTTCAAAATAATACAAGTAGAGAAGAATCATCAGATAAGTGTACTTCAAGTATTAAAAGTACTCGTTTTGCATAATGGATTTTACTATGATTATGGTCTCCTGTTTTTATCCAAGTAACAGCATTTAATATTGTATTTTGTCAATGTGAACCTAATTTAGATACTTGAACCACTGTGTAGGTTAGTAGTACAGTATTGCATTTAATATATAGACTGTATATTACACTGTCTATGATTTTACCATATCAGCATGTCATGTGTTTTATGTACACAGTTGTTGTGAGTTTTAAAACAAGTGTAGTGGATACACAAGTAAAATGTTTGCCTCTGAAATGTAGTGCAGTAAAAGTATAAAGTTGTATTAAATCGAAATACTTAAGTAAAGTACAAATGTTAACAAATACGTACGCACAATACTTGAGTAAATATTCTTAGTGACTTTCCATCACAGTTTTTTAAACATTAAAAGCCAGCATTTCAATATCCCAAGTACAGGTCCAGCTGTAGCTTCAGTGTGAACCCAGCTGTTTAAGTGTGTTTTAAAAAAATAATGTAGACAATATGAAGTTGCTGAATTGAAGGTAGGCTTCTCAGTGAGCTATCCGCAGACAGAGAGGCAATGTCAGGTTGGTGTTAAAGGAATATAATCACGATTTACTTCACATCAGTGAGGGTGGATACAGTTCAAATCAATACAAACCATTTAAAGTCAAAGATGGCAAGGTGCTTCTTCTTCATCTTGCGTTGGGAAACCAGTGGCATTGAGGGGTCTTCAGTGGTTGGGATCTATAATGCAGCCATAGATTCTGCATTGGGGTTTCTATAGTATAGCGTTCAACCACAGGTGGCAGCACTGAGCAAGAAACAGCAAAATAACGCTCCAATCTGTAAGCGAAGAAGAAATGTTGCCATGTTGGTTTCGACACGGCTTGTTTATGCTTTAATGGAAATGACCGAATAGCTTTTAGTTTCCAATAAGTGTGTTTATGTTACTTAAACCTTTACAAACAATCTTTATTATTATGCCGATTGGTCGCTGATGAGTTCACCTTCTTTTTGACGGGTTTGACATTTTAAAATACTTTTGTTGACACACTTTCTGAGCTCTAAATGCCTGAATTGGATGGTTTTACACCGAGAGCAACACAGGACCTTTACACGGGGTGGAAGTCTTATAAGAAGCTGTTTGTAGACTTTCTGGATGTCAACTTGAGTTTGTAAACACGCTGGTAATGGAGGTTAACATCGGAAGTAAGTCTCTCTCACATTTTTTAACTAAATAAGTAAGTTGTTTCATTTAATGTTAGCGTTTTCAGTTTCAGTTCAAGTCACTATTTGACCCAAAGTATCTGACGTCAGCTTATCTTGATAGTGAGGAAAGCTTTACTTCCGTGTATGAAGTACTCTGATCTTGTACTTTAGTAAAAGTAGAAGTACTCAGATCTTGTACTTGAGTAAAAGTAGAAGTACTCAGATCTTGTACTTGAGTAAAAGTAGAAGTACTCAGATCTTGTACTTGAGTAAAAGTAGAAGTACTCAGATCTTGTACTTGAGTAAAAGTAGAAGTACTCAGATCTTGTACTTGAGTAAAAGCAGAAGTACTCAGATCTTGTACTTGAGTAAAAGTAGAAGTACTCAGATCTTGTACTTGAGTAAAAGTAGAAGTACCAGAGTGTAGGAATACTCTGTTACAGTAAAAGTCCTGCATTCAAAATGTTCCTCAAGTAAAAGTATAAAAGTATTATCATCAAAATATAGTGAAAGTAGCGACAGTAAAAGTAGTCATTGTGCAGATTGGTCTATTTCAGAATAATATATATGATATGTTTTATAATGATTGATCATGAAAGTGTTATCAAAGCTGGTAAAGGTGCAGCTAGTTTGAATGACTTTGTATACTGCAGGGTAGCTTGTGAATTTACTCCAGGTGGAACTAAAGTCTGATTTAACACTTGATTAGATTTCACATCATTCATCCACATCTGTAAAGTAACTAAAGGTATTAAATACATGTAGTGGAGTAGAAGTACACGATTTACCTCTGAACTGTAGTGGAGTACTTAATGGACTTTTAAAATAAGATGTTTGGATGTAGATTAAATGATCCAAAATAATATGTAAGTAATGAATGGGTTGACAAAAAGATGGCAGCAATTTAACTAGTTGTTTAAATACTTTTTTGTGTAAAACATTACATCTTCAATACTTTTACTTAAACACCAAACTCTTTCTTGTAACTGTGTATTTTTACGTTGCATTATTAGTACTTTTACTCCCACCTCTATTGGTCTCAGTCCCATTTGTATTCAGATAAAAGGGAATACCCAGACATGTGTTTAAGTAGTCTGGTTTTGTAACACAATAAAATGCCACTGTTGCTTTGAGTTTATAACCAGGACCATCAGTGTACCGCCACACATGTTAATGGGGAGGGTTGTTACTCTGAATATCTGTTAATAGACACAGACATTTACACAAGTGTACTTTCCCTCCTGTTTGCTCTCTTGCCTGTCATGCTCGCCTCAGGACTGAGTCACGTGACTCTTATGAGTAAAGGCATGACTTCTTAACAACTCCTCATGACTCACAGGGTGTTAAATATGAATGCAAAACACTCACAATGAGCTAGGTATCTAGGATAGGTTTGCAAATAGATCCATGGCTAAGTTTTCTCATTAAAGTAGAAAAGTTGTCAACACATTGACCCTCTGTTGTCTCAGGATTAGGGTTCTCTAATCATAACACAACATAATTGTGTCATTACCTTTATAAGAACAGTACCTAAGTGTTAGAAACATCTCCCTGGTCCCCGGCTTGAGCTTCAATCTCAGGATCCATGTATTTGTGATCCTCTCCAGAATGGAAGTAGTCATCACATCCAGAGCATCAACTAGTTCCTGAACAGTGTCCTTCACATGCTGATATCCAAGAGAGGGAGTTACACAGTCACAAGATGGAGGAATAGAAAGCAGTATTCAATGTTTAGTTCAGATTAGCTCCACGTCAGAAATGAGCATGCTTGTCATATGTCTATCTCCATAGAGGCTGAATCATCATGTTAATCACATAGCTATCATATGCCTCAAACAGTCCTGATGCTCTTCTAGGTAATCATACATCCTGTCATGTACTCAGCTACAGTTGGGATACCTTTGTTAGCATGTTACTCTCATATTGGAAGAGGACATTCAGTATTTTTCCAACACTAAGTAACACCAGACACCTGCAGTCCAGCTCAATGGTCGATCAAATGTCATCTAAATATCACAAATAACCCCTTTTCCTCAGGGGGCTTTACTATATGTACAGCACAAATATTGTTGGTCTTAAGCAGGATTAGGGCAACAGGCGCAGCCAGGTGTTTTAAGTAAACATCACATGCCTTCAGTCCTGCTTACCTTCCTTTACTTACAGGAATGTGCTGCTCTGGAACCGGTTTTAAATAACAGGGTGACATTCATCTGATGTCAACATGCTGTCAGAATAACTGCATGTGTTCCTATACCAGAAACTAATTGCACAATGCACATATCGTTTATAAGGGGATGTGTTGAACAACATGCTGTTCTTATATAACATATCTGCTTTTAGACTGTTGTCTTTAAAGCTGGTTTTTATCACAGTCATTTTCATTATTTTTAAAGTGCTGTATGCTATAGGCGCTTTCACACCAAGTACTTTTCCCAGGAATAGTTCCCGGAACTTTTATTTCCTGGAACTATCTAGTAAATCGCGTTCACACCGGAATAAGTCCCTGAGGGAGCCGCTGACGTCACTTATTCTTCTTCTTCTGCTTTGGGTTTACTGGCAGGCAGCAAACAACTTCACGGCGTATACTGCCACCCGAAGTCCCCGGCCGGAAGTCCCCGGAGTTGGGGACTGGCTTCAGTAGAAGCTGCTGGGACTCCCAGCAGCTTCTACTGAAGCCTTCAGAGTAAATCGCCAGAACGCTGACACCTCCTCATCTCCACCGCTTTTGTGTTGCCATAAGTTAGTCTCTCTCCGTTGGTGCGCTGGGCTAATGCTAATGCTAATAATGCTAATGCCAGCAAATAAAATGGCGGCTTCACAAAAACTTTTCAGAGTTTTACGGGGCGTGGTTTGCAATTCGCCCAGCCAATCAGAAATTTGACCTTTTTTCTCCCCAAGAAAGTACCACCTCTCTAGCAGGGACTAAAAAGGGGTGAAAAGGTTCCAGAAAAAAAGTTCTAGTTCCAGATCTTTTTGGTGTGAACGCAAAATCCCAGGAACTATCGGAACTATCCTGGGAAAAGTACTCCGGTGTGAAAGCGCCTAATGTGTTGCTTTGTGCTATTCCTTGTTTTGGTTGCCTGATAACTGAAATGTAACCGCCTTTGTCTTCAGTCTGTGTGTAAAGTATGCAGAACAAGAATACAACAGTATATACTTTCATACTTTTGTGTCACTTTGACCTCGTTTTTCACTATCCGCCTCCCTTTAAACTTGCCTCCAGGTGAATGAGAGCGATGAGGAGCAGCAGGAGGACGGAGGTGTCTGCTCAGCAGCTGACTGATCACACTATTGGCACAGGTGTGTATGTAAACAAGTCATGTGACATGTCTCAGGAATGAGTTACAATAAAAGGGATTGTTAGAACAATTTACCAACACTAGTTCAGCTGAGAGGGAATTTATTTTATGGCATCAGGTTTTTCTACCACTTAATAAATCATGCGTTCTCTTCCTCACCTTCAGAGCTGACAACTGCATGGAAGAGTTTATCTCAGTCCAAAGCTGCTGTAAGTAAATACAAATACAGTCAGTGGAATATCAAATGATGATGAGGATGACTCCCTTTCACCGCCATATAAGGCTCACATGTGTTCTCCCTCTTTAGTTGCGGCATATAGAAAACCGCCTGGAAGCCGCTCCAGGTTCAAGTGTTCTCCTGGAATCAGTCATGGACCCCAAGAAGAAATCCTCCAGGACGGTGCGCTGCAGAGGTGAGTCATTTCCAAATGTCTTTATGATCAAATTCTACATTTCCTCCGGCGCTCCTTCCTGCTCCATTACAGCACCTCTGTTGTGCAATATACTTATTTATATACTTTCCTGGCTGTGATCTCGTAGTTAGACAATTCAATTACTGTAATAATACATCTGTAAATGACTGTGCAGTGTATATACTTTTATTAGTGACTAGTGTTTAGGGCTGGGTATCGTTAAGGTTTTAACGGTACTACTACTTTTATCGATCCGGTACTTTAACGGTTCTCTTATCGGTTCTTTTGAGAGAAAAAAAAAGGTAATGAACTAAACAAATTGTAAATAATGTGAACTTACAGAACTGTAAAAAACAAACAAAAAACAAGTATTTACTGCAAAAATACAGTAGTACAGAGCAGCACAGGTGGGGCATACAGGTATGCTGCTAACGGTTCTTCTGGAGGAAGATTAAGGTATACATAACATACCTGACGGGGAAACGTTACTCGTGGACGGGGCTACAGCGCTGCTAGAGAGACAGTCGGTGCATTTCTCCGTCTGAATGTGGAGCACTTTTGCTAAATGTTTAGACAAATTGCTCGTGTTACCGCCCTGACATGCTAAACTCTTATTGCACTTTTGGCAACGAGCATTGTCCACATCGAGACGGGTAAAGTTGAACCACACCTTGGAGCGCTTAGTTCTCATCTCCGCCGTGAGTGTGTGTGTGTTGCTGCATGTAGCAGCCGTGTGTGTGTAAACTGCCCCCTCGCACACAGACGTGGGAGAGAGAGTTCTTTGCAGTCTTTTTGCATATTAGAAACAGAGTTGGCGACACTAAAACTACAATATAATGTTTGTGTAGCAATAATACATATGACATGTATTTTTTACATGTCTCCAGTACCGATAAAAAGACCGCTTAACGGTACCACGGTCTTTAATAATTCCGCCCCGGGGCCCCTTTAATACCGGGGCTCGGTACTAGGGATGCTCCGATCGATCGGTCACCGATCGAGATCTGCCGATACTCACTCTCTACCGATCGATCGGTGCTCTCTAAACATGCCGATCGCGAGGGCCGATCGCATGACGTAAAATACATGACACTTTTCTCTGTACGCGGCAAAACAAGCTCGCCAAAATGGCTTCACCGGTCTGGCATTATTTTAAGGTGTCCGAAAAAGACAGTAAAACAGCGGTATGCAACGTGTGTGAAGCAGAAATCCTGCTGCTCCACCCGCTGTGACGGACCGGTGAGCGGAGCGAAACACACAAGAGTTAGACCTAACACCCTTAGCTATTTGATCTACCTCTGGAACAAGCTAAACTAGTTATAAATATGTTTATTCTTCACTGTCGGCCTCACACATTACTGGATCAGCGAGCTGCATGAGACGATACTGACGGGCTGTCAGGAGAGGGAGAGAGGGGGGGGAGAGAGGGGGAGAGAGGGGGGGGAGAGAGGGGGAGAGAGAGAGAGAGGAAAAGAGAGCGCTTGCTCATTTCTCCCGTGGTATTATCCAAAGTGAATGTAAACTTGAATAATATACATAATTTGAATGTAATAATTAAGTTGATTGTTGTTTGTGGAAGCTCCAGTGAATGAGCCCCATTAACTGAGTTTTAAACATCACTTTAAATGGAAGATTTAAAGTGATGTTTAAATCTTCCATTTAGGCCCCGCCCACTCGATCGGATCGGCGATCGGTATCGGCAGATACTGATTCCGGCGATCGGTATCGGCAGATACTGATTCCGGCGATCGGCGATCGGCCCCAAAATTGGCGATCGGAGCATCCCTACTCGGTACCCATCCCTACTAGTGTTAGCTGGCTGCTATCACACTACTTTATACATGCTACACCTATTTAAATAAAATCAATAAGGTTACAGCTGCTTGTAATCCACCTGGATGTGTATTTATGTAAATTGTCATTTCTATCTTTAATAGATAGATAGATACTTTATGAATCCCAAATTAGGAAATGCTGTTGTTACAGGACCAGTGTGCTCAACATTAAAATACAAATACTTAAAAAGTGGAAAAGAGTTAACAATTAAAAATGAAAATGAAAAATAGTAAATCAAATATAAACAATATTCAAAATTCTGGATAATTAAAATGTTCTTTAAAAATACTGCAGTAGCAGCAATATATGTTTAATGTATATTATGTTATCAGGGTTCGTACGGTCATTAAAAACCTGGAAAAGTCATTGAAATTCAAAATGCAAATTCCAGGCCCTGGAAAAGTTATGGAAAACAATATTTTCCCCAAAGTTTTTGGAAAAGTCATGGAAATATAACTAAAGTTGCATCAAATACGATTTATATTTTATCTAATCGCCGAAATAGTAATACTATAATGATAATAAATACTGTATAGTAATGAAACGTAAAATGGCATTTAACTGTCACAGTATTTAGCTGGTGAGAGATGTTTACAATCACTAACCCGGCTTTAGCCGGGAGCTACTATTTGATATAAGGCTGCCAAGAAGTGCAGTTTCAACAATGTATGGCACCAATTGTGGTTATCAAAAGACATTGACCCAAGACGTGCTAAATGCAAACTGTGTTCGATATTTCGAATATGGGCGAGGCAGCACTTGCTAGCCACTTGAAAGAAAGAGTCATTTTCTTTGGTCATGGAAAATGAGCTAACGGTCATGGAGAAGTCATTGAAAATCATTGGTGAAAAAGTGTGTGCACCCTGTGTTATGCATGCCTCTTAATTAATATGACGCTATTTTTGGCACGTCACTCTTCCTGTATCACTCTCAATGTCCCCTCTGTGGGACGAATTAAGATATCCTGATTCTGAATAATACCTTTTTTAAACGTTGCTGTCTCTCTCCCAGATGGACAACATGCTGATGTCACCGCGGGGTCTTCGAAGCGTCGGGGGCGGAGTCAGCAGAGTCCGGAGAAGAGCAGCTCTCGCAGCCCGCTGAGGAACGCCACGCAGGACAGCAACGTGCGGAGGAACAACAGCGTGGAGTTCAGGGAGCCGCTGGTCTCCTACAGGTACACACTCTGCTTCAAATGCACTCTGCAAACAGCCTGAGGTCGCATTCACACCTAATAGTCCGCTTCTCAGACGACTGTTTGTTACACTGTTTCATTTTTCAGAAGGTTCGGTTTGCGTTCACACGGGCAAAACTCAAACGGACTATAAACTTTAAACACAAGTCATGTGCTCGGAAATGCTGTTCAACCATTGGTCAGACATTAAGGGGGTAAAAACGCAAAACCCGGCAATTTCTACCGTAGCTTTGGAGCATCGGCAGGTTATTTTCATGCTGCTGTTAATCTGGAGAGCTGAGAGCATATCAACAGACTCTAGTGGCCAGTACAAATGATTATACAATCAGACAACGTGCGTTAAAAAACATTATAACACATAATGAGAGACGTTCTGCAGTCAAGAGGAGGGTTCACCGACGACAGGTGGCTCTGACTTTGACTTTTATGTATAGTTTTTAGTTTGATAGTTGTTTTTACTTTACACGACACTGTTCAACACTTCATTCTGCTTCACTCTTTCGCTAAAGATTTTGAAGACATTCACGTGACTCGTAAATACTACGCTTCCTATGTTTTGGTGCGGACTGCATTCACACCAGAGATGAACCGCTCCAGAGTTCACTTGCAAGCAGTCCGAGACCACCTGTTTTAGGTTGTTGATGTAGTTAGTAAATAGTCACGGTCTTCCCTTCTGCTAAAATGCAAGCTCTTGTTAATGCATATATTTCAGCTGCTTGTGCTGAGAGATGCCCTGGCAGGCGGTTAGACTCCAGTATGTCTTGATCAGAGACTACTGCATATCCTACAAGATTCTCATTTGTCAGTGGGTCTTTACTGCCTGAACCATCCACATATAATACAAGATCAGGATTGGACAAAGGGACAGCTTTCAAATCCTGTCTTGGTGTACATATTTCAGAAATGGCAGCCAGGCAATCATGTGGTTCACCATCTTCCTCTGTAGGAAGCAATGTAGCTGGATTCAATACAGTGCATCTACTGATGTGAACATTAGGTAGTGAAAGCAACACATTGTGATAGTGCATCATTCTAGCGGGTGTAAGCTGACTTGTTTTCTGCTCTAAAAGGATTGAGGAAACACAGCATGTGGTACTAACAAATGTAACTCCTGATAGCCCACTAACCCTCTAGAGGCTAGTACTGCTAAAGCAGCAGCTGCTACTGCTTTCAAACAATATGGTAAACCTGCTGCGACTGGATCTAATCTTGATGAAAAGTATGCTACAGGCCTTAATGTTCCTGCAGCAATACTGAAGACATAAGTCCATTAGTTTCACAAAGTGTCTGGGTCAAAGGTCGAGCTGAGTGGTAAACCCAGAGTTGGTGTCACTGTCAGTGCTTGTTTTAGTTTCACAAAACCATCCGTTCCCTCAGGAGTCCAGGTCAAAAGGTCATTTGGTCTCAGTCCATGGTCATGCCCTGCAGAGGCTGTGATAGTTCAGCAGTCAGGTATCCACTGTCTCAGTCCATGGTCATGCCCTGCAGAGGCTGTGATAGTTCAGCAGTCAGGTATCCACTGTCTGCAGTCCATGGTCATGCCCTGCAGAGGCTGTGATAGTTCAGCAGTCAGGTATCCACTGTCTCAGTCCATGGTCATGCCCTGCAGAGGCTGTGATATGTCAGCATGGTCAGGTATCCACTGTCTGCAGTAGCCCGTCATGCCCAAACATGTCATCATTTGTTTCTTTGTATTGGCTTTTTTTTCGGAGCAGGTTTGCCGTTCAGCACAAGTTACCATGGCGATCCAGCCCGCTAAAAAGTGAACCAGCGTCGTAGGACCGGAAACCCAGAGTTTACCCTGAAGTTAGCTCGCTAAGAGAAAATCCGGCTTCGTAGTACAGGCCTCAGGAGAGCGCTTCCACTCAGTCCTTAAATGCTCTTTACTCTTAAAGATTTCCATTCAGACACCGTGTGTTCCTGACATCTCCTTAGTGTCTGCAGCTGAAAGGCTCACAGACACTTCAGTAGCTCAGAGAGGTTAGCAACGATACAGCACAGCCTGTTTCTTCTGCAGTTTGGTCACTCAGAGTCACAGATTTACTGGATCTCAATGTGAATATATTCTCAAGAGTTGATAAAGGCTTAGAGCGGAGCTAAAGGGAAGTGAATATTAGACTCCACCAGATGTCCAGAAACACGGCTCGACACAACACAGAACAATATATGTTGCTTTGTTTTTGCTGAATGTGTTTATAAAAGCATGTTGTACATTTAAAGGTGGTCATTTTCACAAAAATGTTGTTTCTTCTGCCCCAAAAATGGCAGAGAATGTATATTAGTTAAACACGTCTTGGTTATTAACCCTCATTATTTTAATATCTTTATAATCAGAACATGCACTACTATAATAAAGCAGTGGATAATATTTATATATATTTTTTGTTTGACTTATAGTGCCATCAGTAATCTTTTCTGCTTCGAGCCCGTTAGCGAGGGCAGTGTGACAGAATGACACAAATCAACATTTTATTTTCATTCTGGTTCTACATTTCTAAAAGGTTTCGTAGTTTAATGAAAGCCACGTATTGAGTGAATGTGTCCCTCCTTCCTCACAGTCTCCGACCCCCCCCATACATGAGCTCTTCTGTACACTCACAGTGAACTAAGTCTTGATCCCCTTCCTGATCCCCTGTGTAATCTGGTTTGTTTCCAGAGAGGCCACCCCTCCACCAAACCCCCCCTCTCAGCTGGAGGCCTTCAGCCTTCAGTCCTCCTCCTCCAATCCCCCCTCAGACCCCCTGCTGAGCCAGATGGTTTACCACAGAGACACCAGGGACTCTCAGACGGACCGGGACCAAGACAGCACTCGCTCCTCGGCTCTGGAGGGCACGGAGGTCCGATTCCTCAACGACCGCTCAGCCCTCGACTCCATGAGGACCGCCAGGGTCTCTGCGTGGGAGCAGGACCACACCCCTAAAGTAAAATAAATATATATATGCCGTTAATAACTGTGCTATATATATACCTGGCTGCTAAATCTTCTGAACTGTTACAGGATGTGTATTTTGTAAATTGTGTAATTTTTTATTATTCTTTATTAGTTATTTTCTCACATTCCCCTTTACATCCAATAGTACTTCAATTTAGATGAACAGTTTCTTTAACAAGGGGCTTGGACTGTGAGCCGTAGGGTCACCGGTTCAAGTCCCCGACCAGACCTAAATATGGAGTGTGGACTGCTACTTGGAGAGGTCCCAGTTCACCTCCTGGGCCCTGCCGTGGTGCCCTTGAGCAAGGCACCGGACATCCCCCTTCCCCCCTCACTCCCTCACTCCCTCACTCCCATTGCTCCCCGGGCTCTGTACAATAGCTGCCCACTGCTCCTAGTACTAGACTCCTGGTACCTCTTGGTTCTAGACTCCTGGTACCTCCTGGTTCTAGACTCCTGGTACCTCCTGGTTCTAGACTCCTGGTACCTCTTGGTTCTAGACTCCTGGTACCTCCTGGTTCTAGACTCCTGGTACATCCTGGTTCTAGACTCCTGGCACCTCTTGGTTCTAGACTCCTGGTACCTCTTGGTTCTAGACTCCTGGTACCTCCTGGTTCTAGACTCCTGGTACCTCCTGGTTCTAGACTCCTGGTACCTCCTGGTTCTAGACTCCTGGTACCTCCTGGTTCTAGACTCCTGGTACCTCCTGGTTCTAGACTCCTGGTACCTCCTGGTTCTAGACTCTTGGTACCTCTTGGTTCTAGACTCCTGGTACATCCTGGTTCTAGACTCCTGGTACCTCCTGGTTCTAGACTCCTGGTACCTCTTGGTTCTAGACTCCTGGTACCTCCTGGTTCTAGACTCCTGGTACCTCCTGGTTCTAGACTCCTGGTACCTCCTGGTTCTAGACTCCTGGTACCTCCTGGTTCTAGACTCCTGGTACCTCCTGGTTCTAGACTCCTGGTACTAGGATGGGTTAAATGCAGAGAACACATGTCACTGTGTGTGCTCTGTGACCATTACAGAGGGTTTCATCCCCCCATTCTATTCTATTCTATTCAACATGTATAAGGTCTCAAATCCCCCAAAAATCCACATGAGAATATGAAAAACTAAACGTATAGAAATCAAATCAATAATAACACTGAGAACGTAAATAACACACGTAATTGTTTTATCTTTAATTTTTTTTTTTAAGCATGCTTCTTAGGTAACATTGAGCTGATCTTTTCTTGCTGTAACAATGTAAATGTCTCCTCTGTGGGACTAATAAAGGGATTCTGATTCTGATTCCTCTACGAACAGCCTGCCCTGGACTCCATGAGGACCGCGGGGGTCAGAGTGTCTGCATGGGAGCAGGACAACACTCCCAAAGCACAACCAGGCATGGAGGGACAGGAGTCGAGCCCGTCTTTAGCTCCAGGATCCGCACAAAGAGAGGAGAACACCCCCTCGTCGAGCCCAGGATCAGCCTCTCAGCGGCTGGAGAACCTCCGGCGGCACCAGCCTGACGACAAGCTGGAGAAACTCAAAGAGCGCATCCGGAGGCAGAGGCAACATCTGGAGGAGGCGGCAGAGAGAGAGAAGCTGCTGTTCGACCTGGAGCAGCCGGACGTAGAAGCTGTGGGGAGCAACAACGCCGGGACCAGCAACATGTACAAAATAATACGGAAAGTAGCAGCTGCTCCACCAGCTCCGATATACAAAGGTACCTGCAGCTATGTCACATCCTTTGTTTGACCTTTCGCTGCAACTAACAGTTTGGGGAATACAGCTTACATCTTTAAAGGTCCCCTATTATACTGTTTCTCATCAATTTATCACAGGTCTCAGATATATACAGAGCCTGTCTCTGATTGGCTGAAACACCAAACAGATCATTGCAGCATCCCATAATCCCCTCTCGACCAGGACAAAAAGAGAGAGAATCTTTCTTCCTGAGACTTTCAGAGTCTCTTTACACAGAGGGGACACATGTTGATGTAGAAGAGACATGAAGAAGAGGGGACACATGTTGATGTAGAAGAGACATGAAGAAGAGGGGACACATGTTGATGTAGAAGAGACATGAAGAAGAGGGGACACATGTTGATGTAGAAGAGACATGAAGAAGAGGGGACACATGTTGATGTAGAAGAGACATGAAGAAGAGGGGACACATGTTGATGTAGAAGAGACATGAAGAAGAGGGGACGCATGTTGATGTAGAAGAGACATGAAGAAGAGGGGACGCATGTTGATGTAGAAGAGACATGAAGAAGAGGGGACGCATGTTGATGAAGAAGAGGGGACGCATGTTGATGTAGAAGAGACATGAAGAAGAGGGGACGCATGTTGATGTAGAAGAGACATGAAGAAGAGGGGACGCATGTTGATGTAGAAGAGACATGAAGAAGAGGGGACACATGTTGATGTAGAAGAGACATGAAGAAGAGGGGACACATGTTGATGTAGAAGAGACATGAAGAAGAGGGGACACATGTTGATGTAGAAGAGACATGAAGAAGAGGGGACACATGTTGATGTAGAAGAGACATGAAGAAGAGGGGACGCATGTTGATGTAGAGGAGACTTGAAGAAGTGGATTTTGCATAATAGGTGACCTTTAATGCCTTTACTTCCAGGTTTCAACAGTACTGAGACGAAGATCCAGACTCCTGATGGGAAAGTCTGGAAGGAGGAGGAGTTTCATAACCTCAGCAGAGAAATATACAGAGACCTGTCCCGACAGTTTGCTGGTGAGCTCGGCACACACACTTTATTTTCATTACAATCATTCACATTTTCAGATATGGTCAGGGTGTCACTGTTTTACTTCAAAACATGTACTCGTTTATCAGGGTTCCCGCGGGGTCTTAAAAAATCTTACATTTGATAATCTGAATTGAAGGCCTTAAAAAGGTCTTAAATATGATCAAAAAAATGAGAAAGGTCTTAAATATGATTTAGAAGGTCTTAAGATGATGGGATGTGAAAGGTACTTCTGTGTAGCGATCGCGTCTAAATGTGTTTTGGGGGAAATGTCCGGGCTGCAAAGTAACCAGTACGGTGAGAGCCTTTCAGTTCCCCCCAACAATCTGTATTGAAATAAATCAACATGGAACCAGTAATCACTAACTTTGTTTCCCCCCGGCCCCTTATCGGAGAACACCCAGCTAGTAACCTAGCAACCAAGCTTCAGCTAGCGGCAGTCAGAAATTAGGTACCTTCGAATCTACTTACAAATAAATATGGGGAAGTGTAAGTTCAACCGTATTTGGTTGGAAAACATCGAATTTAGTGCTTGGTTGAAACGAGTGGAGGGGAACGTGTTAGAAGCCTGCTGCACCTTTTGCAAACAAAAATTGCGTTTGTTTTGCTAGTGCAGCGTTTGCTAATGCAGTGTTAGCTAATGCAGTGTTAGCTAGTGCAGCAGCTCCCACAACACCACCGGGGGGCCTCCGGGCGACGTTTGGGTCTACGTCAACCCTAAAAGCGGAGGTGCTGTGGACGCTAAATACCGTAGCTAAACACCAATCATACAACAGCATGAAGACAGCAGAGCTCTGACTATAGCTCTTGTCACTCACTCACACACACACACTTTTTGTCTAACACAGTTCTGTGTGCTGTTATGTTCAGTCATCGTTCTTATGTTGAACATGAATACATTTACTTTGTAAGTAATTATGGGACGTATTTCTTCTTTCCTAGCAATTTTCCTTCATACCTTCTTGCCGTGAAATAGGTCTTAAATTCCATTCAAAGTGGTCTTAAAAAGGTCTTAAAAAGTCTTACATTTGAGTTGGTGAAACCTGCAGGAACTCTGTTTATGATTTCACCTGGGCTTAGAGCAGGGATCTTGAAATGAGTTTTATGTGGAAAACTACAGTAATCTCTCTGACCTGATCTGGTTGTTGTATGTTCCCGAGCTTTTATCTAGTTTGTATTAAACCCTATGGCCTGGAGTATATTGAGCTGACTGTAAAAATGCATTAGCAAACTATTGATTGCACTGAATGCATGGCATGGAGTTATAGATCTGTACGAGGTCTAGATAGATTGGATCAGCTGTTTTCCATAGAGGAGGGTTGCACAAATTAACACAATGTTTATTCATAGTCTCTGGTAGAGATGCACCAATTGATTTTTTGTTATTTAAGTCTGAGTTGCATGTTCCACATTTAGCTTGTTCCATTTTTCATTCAGTGCAATATAATTAAACACTTTTCTTACATGGAAAATGAAAATTCAATTGTATCTTAATTATTAAACATTCACTTTTAAATAACAAAACCCCACCAAGTTATAAGACCTATTAAAACCTTGATTTTAAGATTACTCCGCAGCCTTATTGTGTTACAGATAATAAGCTTAATGTATTTTTCACTCGCTCTCAACTTCCACACTGCTGTGCTGCTGTTGAACCATAATGTGCCACTTCTGTTTCAATTAGACATGAAGAAAATGGATATGATCAGTCGCCGATCGATCAGTGCCTCTCTAGTTTTGGTTTATTACATCAGAGATACCTTACCTTGGCCCAGGGCTTGTTTTTCTAAGTTGTATTTGTTTATTTAACACCTAGAATGTGCAGTCATTGACAGTCTTACCGTTTGCTGGATAGCTAAAACTCATCAGCAATTTTCTTTAGTTGAATAAAGAAATGTCTGCTTGTGTGTACAGAGAGCACCAGATCCAGACAGCAGCATCAGAAGGAACAGAGAGCAGACAGATCCAGAGAGAGGAGGCCCCCCAAACCTGTGAGGAAGGTCCACAGAGCGGCCCCTTCCTCTGAAACAACCACCAAACCAGGTATTATAATCCTCAGATCTGTGGGTTTCCCTGGCTGCTTCCCTGTGTGTGTGTGTCTTTGTTAACATGCAAATTACAAGCTTAACATCAAATGACCATAAATTATTTCATTTGAATGATGCTATGATGTCATAAATGGTAGGTGTGTGTGTGTGTGTGTGTGTGTGTGTGTGTGTGTGTGTGTGTGTGTGTGTGTGTGTGTGTGTGTGTGTGTGTGTGTGTGTGTGTGTGTGTGTGTGTGTGTGTGTGTGTGTGTGTGTGTGTGTGTGTGTTGTGTGTGTAGTGTGTGTGTGTGTGTGTGTGTGTGTGTGTGTGTGTGTGTGTGTGTGTGTGTGTGTGTGTGTGTGTGTGTGTGTGTGTGTGTGTGTGTGTGTGTGTGTGTGTGGTGTGTGTGTGTGTGTGTGTGTGTGTGTGTGTGTGTGTGTGTGTGTGTTGTGTGGGTGTGTGTGTGTGTGTGTGTGTGTGTGTGTGTGTGAAAAGCCACATACTGCTGTTACTCTGCACGGCTGACACACACATATTTACAAAGATGCTCCCAGATGGACACATGACAAGATAAGAAGTACTTTATTGATCCCTATTTGGGACATGTTTTGATTATTAAATATTATATTGAATGTACAATGGGAGTTTAAGAGAAGCTATGGAGAGTTCTAGTTAACACAATAGCAAGCTCTCTTTTTGCAGGAGCACAATATTTCTTAAACTGTGTATGTATATATGTGTTAAAATACCGTTTCCAACATTGTTGCGCTGCAGCGATATCCACGCCAACAAATTGTATTATTCAGATTTAACTAAATATGTTTTTGGTACAAAACATTGCAGAAATAATTCAGATGAATTGTGGATAACGTCAAAGCGTGCAGATGGACATCTCTTCTCTGCTGGAGCTTTCATTCCCTCCTGGTTTCTGCTTTGGGTTTCTTCCAGCTCTTGTACTTGTCCCTGAAGTCTGGCTGCTTTCTATAAATAACTGAAATCTGTGGCCAGGTTCAGTCTGCAGCACAAACAGCTGCTTGGTGAGCACAGCTTCATTACCAGGGATCTCTCTCTGGGTGATTGTGGAATAGCTCAAGATTCAAGGCTTTTATTGTCATGTGTGCATAGCTACAGTGTAGATATGACCATGAAGAGCTTAGGGCACAGGCTCCTCCAACAGAGCAACACGATAACACAGATCAAATAGTGCAAGTAAATAAAATAGAAATAGTGAAGAATGTTCTAAATACAAGTAATTGGAATATTGATATAAGTTGCAGACGGATGAATGTTATGGATGTTCTTTTCAAAAGTTCAGGTGTTTAACATTCTCATGGCCTGAGGGATCAGTCCATGTAAAGAGACATTTGATATTAAATGTTTTCTATGCTCTTAAGCAGCCACACACATCTGACTCTCTACACACACACACACACACACACACACAGAGAAACTGATCAGCAGGGATAGCAGTGTGTGTATAAAAAAACATATTTGTCTGCCAGATAGTTACTAAAGAGGAAAGTGCACTCGAGGGGATTTCGGCAAACTGGAAAAACAAGTCCTTTTTGTTTCATAACCTTCATGCAACTTCTGAAAAAGTACACGGAGTCTTCATGTTTTTCACATCACTGGGTTTAGATCAAGTGAGCATTTAGATTAGTCTCACTAAAGCAGTGCACCTTGTTTATCAAATGGTGTCTTTTCCCTTCTTTAATCACTTGTTTGAATGTGTTGAAGTGAGTCTGTGCTGCTAGGTGTATGCATATATGAGCCTTCACATGCAGTCATGAGGTCAACATGGACTGTATTGAATTGCAACGCTCTTCCCCTGCAGCATCTAAGGCCCTAGCCACACGGAGACGGTAATGAAAACGAACCGAATTCGATATCAAAAAAGTCTTCGGTCCACACGCAATCGGCACCAGAAACGTGTCCTTCCTCACAAGACCGCTCGACCCGCTGGAGACGCTGTAGTACATATGCCGGCCCTGTAAGTGGCGCTGTACTTCCGCCACAAAATACACCAAAAGCAGCGAAGCAGACTTCCCGAGCATGGTTGCCATGGTTGCCCTTCTGTTTATTCTCCGCGGTGGATTTAGCAGCAGAGGTGGGGAGAGGCAGGGCTCTGACTCTTTTCTCCCCGAGGCAAGCGTGTGCTCCTGCTGTAATTCTCTCCGGTGGTCCACCAGCAGATGAAAAACACCCACCTCTCCGCCTCTTCCAAGGGGCGAGGGAACCGTGCGGCAGAGTTCCCATTAGAATTAGTTTTTCGCCGGTCAACATGTCCGTTAAAGTTTAAATCTGCCGGTCAAAGGTCTTCTTTGTTATTTATTGAGCTTTAAAACAAATGAACAACGACTCTCTATAAGAATAATACACAGAGTCTCTCTTTCCCTCCCCCTCTCCTGACAGCCCAGCAGTATTTCCGTTATCAGGAAATGATCGTATAGGGCGTAGACACGGAGCCGGTTGGCCCCCCCAGTGCGTTGCGTCCGCAGATCTACCCACCTTGCGACCCGTTATCGTTATCTGCGTCTCCCTGTCGGCCTCGTGTGGCCGACCCGTCTATAAGATAGAGAACTGTAGCGGGTACGACCCGTTTCGTCTCCGTGTGGCGAGGGCATCAGTTGATCATGTTCTGATTGTAATTGCCCTTGAAGAGATTATCACATGTGTTATAGAAACTCTTCATGAGGTTGTTAGGAACGGCTCTCCAACAGCACTTTACATGACAGAGGAACAGTTCAGCATCATGACTGATAACAGATTGGATTTAATTAGATATACTTTATTGATCCCAATTTGGATGTTTTCTTCCTTGAAAGCAGCATGTTAACAAACAATGCATTGCACATGAAATACAAATGAGATCAACATCGACAGCGAAAGATGTGTATATATAATAAATAATACATGTTGTTTATGCAACAAGACACTTTAAAGAGGTAGAAAGTTAAAAAGTCTTGCATATACAATATAGATATCGAGAATTGACATTTGAATTGTCAGTGTTGACTTTGATTGACCAACCTACGTCTAAAACAATGTAAACAAAGGATAGTATTTACATTAAAGTGGACCTATCATGCTATATTTGAATAATATAGTGTAGGACCATACCTATATAAGGCATATTTATACTTTTTTTTTTTTTTAAATACCAAACAGATCATGCATTTTAGCCATGCCTCATTTTGCTCAATTTGACATTTTTTTAGCTCTGTTTTTGCAAAGGGCAGATTCAGTGAGAACAGCACCACCTACAGGCCTGGCATATGTACTACAGCGTCTCCAGCGCTTTCGAACGGCAATGCCGTGGCTGTCTCCTCCTGATTGGTGGAGTTGGCCCAATAGCCGTAGCGCCACCCTCCTGACGTCAGGACAGTGTTCAAATCTGGATCAGTTTTTATCAGATCCGTTGCAGCCCCTTTTTTAGAGATTTGGGTATGGAGGAAAATAGAGAGGGTTGTGTTTTCTGACACTTGGTGAGTTCCCTGGAACACCGGGGACACATATTCATGTATGAAAGACGTACAAAAGTGCATTTTGCATGATAGGTCCCCTTTAAGTGTTATCTGTCACATGTCCTCTGTTTTTATTGATTGATTATATTATATATAGACCTTGAGAGCCTTGAAAGGTGCCTTTTATAAGTAAATGTATTATTAATATTATCTTATAGATAGATACTTTATTGATCCCAATTTGGGAAATGTTTGCGTTGCAGCAGTATAAAAAACAAGGGAATAAGAGAAATGAAGGCACTAGAAACAGTCCAAAATATTTCTGAAATAGAAATAGAATAGCATTAAAATGTAAAAAGTAAAGATATGCATGTGGAAAATATACATGTGGAAATACAAATGACTGTTGAGAATAAAATAATAATAATGTTGTCTCTCTGCAGTGATCAGCCCTGCGTCGTGGAGGGACGGCCAGAAGCTGGTGAAGATGGTTCTGGGTCCGGTTCCCAAGCTGCCCCGAGAGGAGCTGCCAGCTGACAGACTGAGCAGAGCAGGTGGGAGACTGACCTCTGACCCCTTTTACACGCCACTACACTCACTCTCTCCCTCTGTACACGCCACTACACTCACTAAGTCTTATATTACCATGTCCGGACACCAGCAGCGCTCCCAGCTGGCACTAAACATACAAAATACACCAATCACAACCATAAATACAAAAGGGAAGTTTGTTTAAAGAACAGATTATAGTCCAATCATATACCATGGCAGAGTCAGATTTAGTACACCATGGTACAAAAGTAGCAGTATGTTTGGTTTAAAAAAGTGACCATATCAAATTAATGAGGTAGCTGGTACTGTATGCTACAAAATAAACGTGTATATTGCACACAATTGTATGCTTCATTTAATTTTTCAAGGCTTCTTCTTCTCAGTTCTGCAGGGACATGTTTGATGTCACTGGTTATGATGGTTTGGTTCATGGCCATCTAGTTTTCCAGATGTTCACACACACCAATAGTTTCTTTTGTTTGGTGTCCATCTCTAATTGTAATAACTAAACGTATAGCAGCCATCTCTGCTGTAACTGCATCTCTTTAAGGCTCCATGCCGTGCTTCACACGCTCTCATCAACGTGTCAAAAGGTACAAGGAAAGTGAAAGGGACACAAATAGAAAAGGTGATTAGCTTTCAGCTGCGGTTTGAAGAGCCAGCTACATGTCAAAAATGTCCTCTCTGCATTATTTACACGCCTGCATGCAAACCACCGTGGGAATTACTCGTCTACCTTCAACCCCCCTTCGTTCAGACAACTCCCGTCTCATTTGACTTTCACCTGTTCTCTCTTCTTGCTATCCAACGGTCGCCTCTCAAATGAATCAGAAACAGAAACGGGTTTATTGCCCAGTAAGTTTTCACATACGACACTTTTTCCTTGGTGTCTGTAGTGCATACATAAACACACTTATTTGTTACATACCAACAAACTACGAGCAGTATACTATGACAAAATACTCAGAATAATAAAATAAAATATGTGCAGTTTTGTTGATTCTGCTTTAAAGGTAGGGTCGGTAAGAATGGAGGAACCAGCTCGAGTGCGCTAGAATTTGAAAGTACGTAGCCGAAAGAAATCTGCCTCCTTACAGAGCCCCTCCTCCAACACACACGAACGCGCACATGACCAATGAGGGCACGAGATAAGTCTGTGCACAGATGGAAGGCTGACAGGCAGGTAGGCCATCCAGTTATTTTAGCCGGGCCGAGGCAGATGATTGGTCGTGCTTTTTACAGTATTACAGCTTCCACAGATGATATTTTTTTATGTATTTATTGTCAAAGCATTTCAGATATTCATTGCTATCGGGATGTTAAGAGCATTCCATGGAATATAACAAGTGTTTCTGAAGTGAATTACCTACCCCACCTTTAAGCGTTATTACCTGTAGTAGACCCATGTCATTGGAAGATGTTGTCGTGGCTTCTTTCCTTATTTTCCATCAAGCCAATAGACGCCTTCAACAGACATTTCTAACACGTTTTCTTTCCTTTATATGTTTTGTGTTACTCACAGTTGATGAGTTGCTTTGCCTCCGATGGTTTGGATGATATTATGCAATGGGTTTGCTCAAAATAAAATAACTAACTTTTCATACAGGTAACAAAGAAAACAAGCCTTTACAATAGTCTAAACAAAAGAGGCAAAACCCAAATAAAATAATAAACAACTTGGGTAGTCTTTCTGTCTTTCTATGTTAAGGCTTGTATAACTTTAATGGTAACTTAAACGGTAATTGAACGGTTAAAAACTGTCTTTCTGACAGGTTGCCCATCTCTGTCTCTTTAGAGGAGGCGCCGTGGGAATATAAGTCTTTTATACTGTGTCACAATTGGGTGGCCCTTTTTATAAAAAAAAACGAAATACTGGCTCTAACAGATACAAGAAATATCTCCACACGTATAGAGACTGTTCATGTCTGGGGCCCACAGCTGGACTGCAGGAGAATATATCAATTAATAAAGAGTTTTTGGCTGGACTCACAGTCTAGAGACACACACACACACACACACACACGCACACGCACACACTCTGTCTCAGTTAGCTGCATCTGTACTGGTTACCACTGACCGGAAGGAATAGAGATCGACTGGCTGTTCTGGTCGGCTGCCCAATGAGACATGGCCTGATTTCCAGAGGCGCACTGCAGCCATCATCTGAAAAAAAACAAAAAAACTCTGTCTGGATTAGATCCTGTAAATGTTCAATTTGGGGCACAGATTACAGTTGCCATGGCAAGCCGTCTCTCCCCCCCCCCCCCCCCCCCCCCCCCCCAAAGCCTCATTTAGCATTCAGTCTGGGTCTTTAGCTGTGCTGTTTTTATGATCAATCTGCTGCAGTCACTTGTTGGTGCAGACAGGGTTTTCTGAGTTGTGTCAAAGATGAAGATCAGAGATGGACCGGAAACAGTCAAAAGGATTTTATAGATTTCTACTCGTTTAAAATGAAAGGTCTCCTATCATACTGTTCTTCATCAATATATCACAGGTCTCAGATACATACAGAGCCTGTCTCTGATTGGCTGAAACACCAAACTGATCATTGCAGCATCCCATAATCCCCTCTGTTTTCAGCCCTGTTTCTTTTTGTATTTATTATTAATTTGATGTATTTGAAAGGGACCATGTCAGTGTTGGATGAAGCGTAACAGATTATAGCATTTAGCTCATTTGTACAGTCGTCCCGTGGCAGGTCAGACAACACAATAACAAACAGTGCAGCGTAAAAACAATATGAAATCATGCAAGAACACACAAGGCACTCAAACAAAGCTACTCACGATAACATCTAAATATAACATAACATTTGTGGTCAGTGAGTGCAGAGCTTAGTAGACTTTTTAAGGTTGGTTTGTTAGCGGGTTACACTCTGTACGTGTGTGCTTCTGTTGGTCACTTCATTACCAATAAAGTCATAATAAAATAAAGAAATGTTAATAATTAGCGTATTGACATGACATTACATTTAGCTGACGCTTTTATCCAAAGATACAAACTTGAAGAAAACAGAATCATAGAAGTACATCAGGTTTCATAGACCAAAACATTTCAAGTGCTACTCAACTAGCTTTAGATAAGCCAGTCCTTTATTAGTATATAAGTGCTTTGTTTTTAAATGTATTGCTCGAAGTGGAGTTGAAAGAGATGAGTTTTCAGTCTGCTCTGGAAGATGTGTAAGCTTTCTGCTGTCCTGATGTCAATGGGGAGCTCATTCCACCATTTTGGAGCCAGGATAGCAAACCCACGTGTTTTTGCTGATGGGAACTTGGGTCCCCCTCGCAGTGCGGGTGCAGCGAGCCGTTTGGCTGATGCAGAGCGGAGTGCACGTGCTGGGGTGTATGGTTTAACCATGTCCTGGATGTAGGAAGGGCCAGATCCATTCACAGCATGGTACGCAGGTACCAGTGTCTTGAAGTGGATTCTAGCAGTTACTGGAAGCCAGTGAAGGGAGCGGAGGAGCGGTGTGGTGTGGGAACATTCTTTTAGATTGTTGCTTTTATTGCTTTTAAATTGTCTATTGTTTTTACTTGTACTTGTTTTATGGTGTGTGAGCTCTGCTGTGGTTTTTTCTGTGTTAATGTTTTGTTTGTTTATTTGACTGTACAGCACTTTGATCTGGAGGTTTTAAAGTGCTTTAAAGGGGACCTATCATGCAAAATGCACTTGTGTACGTCTTTTCTACATGAATATGTGTCCCCGGTGTTCCAGGGAACTCACCAAGTGTCAGAAAACACAACCCTCTCTATTTTCCTCCATACCCAAATCTCTAAAAAAAGGGGCTGCAACGGATCTGATAAAAACTGATCCAGATTTGAACACTGTCCTGACGTCAGGACGGAGGCGCTACGGCTATTGGGCCAACTCCACCAATCAGGAGGAGACAGCCACGGCCATTGGCGTTAGAAAGCGCTGGAGACGCTGTAGTACATATGCCAGGCCTGTAGGTGGTGCTGTTCACACTGAATCTGCCCTTGCAAAAACAGGGCAAATTGAGCGAAATGAGGCATGGCTAAAATGCATGATCTGTTTGGTATTTTGAAAAAAAAAAAGTATAAATATGCCTTATATAGGTATGGTCCTACACTATATTATTCAAATATAGCATGATAGGTCCACTTTAACTCAGGAGCCTCTGTAAACAATAGACTGGTCAGGAAAAGCATGCTCGAGTTGGAATGATAAAAACATGTTAGAGGACGACAGCACTCGCATTTAAAACCATTTCTCTGCCACTAAAAACATAATTGCATTATTTTTGTACATGAGAACAAAAAACCTTGTTTGTTGAGGGGATGAAAGG